AAACTGTCGGTGTGTCCTCCGCCGTATGTGCAGCGACAACGACAACAAAGACAACAAAGATAACAAATGTGAGCGTGTGACCCACATGTCTGGGTCACAGACCAGGTTGTCCGACTGCTCACTCTGGTCAAACGCTCCTGGTCCTGTGTTCCAGGTGGTGTGGTCCATGTAAGATCCTGGGGCCAAGGCTGGAGAAGGCCGTTGCCAAACAGAAAGGTCGCGTTGCCATGGCGAAGGTCGACATAGATGACCACACGGACCTGGCCATTGAATATGGGGTGAGAGTCCGAGTCGTTCTGCTCAACGGCAGAGAGACAAGGACAGTTGGAGGTTTGGATCCAGTCCCGTCACCCGTGTGTGTGTGTGTGTGTGTGTGTTCTCCCCCAGGTCTCTGCTGTCCCCACAGTCATCGCCATGCGGGGGGGTGACGTGGTCGACCAGTTTGTGGGCATCAAAGATGATGATGAGCTGGAGTCGTTTGTCAGCAGAATCGTTGGACCATAAATGGGAGTGGTCCAGCCCAGCACTGGTCCAGCCCAGCACTGGTCCAGCCCAGCACTGGTCCAGTCCTGTCGTGGACGGCGTCAGCCGCCATCTTGATCTGGTTCACAAATCGCTAACCATAATTAGAACCGTGCAGCTGGTGACCTCACGCCCACCTCCAGGAACACGGCTTCACCTGTTTGTTGCTGCTTCTCTCTGTGTCTTTGTCCCTCGTCTGTCTTTTGTCTAGGACTGGGTGTGGGCCTTGGTGGACAAGTCCCTTTTTACACCAGCTTGGTTTCGGTGACGGCTCGTTCCGCTCCACTGGATCGGCCTGGTATTTGGTAGAATCCTGTCAGACACTTGTACAACATCACGAATGAACATTTTGGAGTTTTAATGACGAGATGACGTCACCTGACCGGATAACACCTTTAGTTCTTGCTTTTGTCCACCAGAGGGAGGTGTTCTCTTAGATTTTCGAAGCCATTATGCCTCATACTGTGAGTACGTGTGAGTGAGTGCATGTGTGTACTGAATGTGTACTGAATGTGTACTGAATGTGTACTCTAGTTCTGGTCTGCAAAATATCACCTTGATTTAGTTTCGTTCTGAGACGGACATTATTTTCATGACAAACGAGTCAAAGATGAAATAAAAATGTTCAATATTCTCCTGTGTTTGGGATTTGTTTCTGTTTACCTTAGATTATATGTTTATATATTTAGTTTGTATGAGGAGCTCTGCGTGTTAGCGCCACCTCCTGTCTATGATCGTCTGGGTCTTTTTAACCTTTGTCTCCTCTGTCCTGGTGTCTCTGTCCTGGTGTCTCCATGGTCCTTTGGTCTCAGGTGACTGGTTTGTCGTCGGCAGATGAGGAGATGTTAATTTTGTCTGTTGTAAATCAGTGGTTCTAAAAGTATGGTATGCGTACCACTGTTGGTCCTCATGGTCCCCTCAGCTGTTGGTTGTCAAGTTGTTTTAGTAAAACTGTTGCTTGGTCTTTGTGTGTGTGTGTGTGTGTACATTATAGTACTATATGTAGCAGTACTAGATAGTACTTCTGTGGTACACAGTACTTCTGTGGTACACATCACTTCCTTGTCGATGAAACACGACTTGGACTCCGCGGTAACTGCACCTGCCGCGGTAACCACTTCCTGTGAAGGATGTGAAAACATGGCACCGGATTAAAGACGGTTCTAAAATGACTTGACAGGAGAGAACAAACCCAGACATAACTGTAGGGGGCAGTAGAACCTCCTTTCTCAGTGCTCTCTCTGAGCATCATTTTAAGACGTTCCATCTGTTCGTATCCCGGGTTCTGACGGTGGCCGAGCTGAAGGATGCAGTCCTGCTGACTGCCACAGGCGGGCGCTGTATTGTTATTATTTTTCAACTGAAGATATTCCACAGACGTGACGTCAGCAGGTGTAGAATGAAGCAGGTGTGGCTGTTGTTGTGGATGAAAGACATGTCTGTGGTTCCTGAGTCGATTCCTGGGTTTGACACCAGTGACGGACTGGACTCTAAAGACCCCCCCCCCCTTGTCTGCCCCCCCACGGGGCAGTAAAGGTGACTGGAGAAACAACGTCAAACTCCAAAGGTTCAACGAGGAACATGAAACTCGACTCCACTTCCGCAGAGACAATAGACCACACCCCCCCAGAGCTCCCGCCATCTCGCTCTCTCTCTATCGCTCTCTCTCTCTCTCAACCACTCTTTTGACCATATATGGGAAAAAAAGACCAGAGCAGCAACAGCAGCAGCAGCAGCAGCAGCAGCAGCAGCAGACGGGCTGAGAGGTGCTGAGAAGCAGAGTTACAGAATTCTTGTCCTGGTTCTGACCCAGATTCCCATGTAAACCCAAACCTGTTCATGTTTACTCTGTGTTTGTTGTTGAAGTGAAGTGAAGTGAAGTGAAGTGAAGTGAAGTGAAGTGAAGTGCCTGATGTTGAAGTATCTGTGAGTACAGGGATGAGGAGACAGTGTGGACCAGGAGCTGGGCCAGGAGCTGGACCAGGAGCTGGACCAGGAGCTGGACCAGGAGCTGGACCAGGAGCTGGGCCCGGCCCCTCTGACAGAACCAGGGTTTACAGTCAATACAGCAGTGTTTGTATTTGAAACACATGTTCTCCAACCTGTTGGACTTCAAGAAGACTAGGACAGAGCAGGCAGTCACTCCACCCCCGACCCACCCTTTGATCCCCGTGACATCATTGAAGTGAAATCAGTTTGGATGCCTTCCAAACAAAGGAAGGGAAGTGGTGTGTAGTTTCATATTACTCCACATTCTTCACAGGTGTGAGTCAACATCTTATCACCTCTTCCTCTCTCCTCATTACTGCAGAAGAGAGGGGGGGGTAAGGGGGGGGGGCCCAGAGCTGTGGGTCAGACCCAGAACATCAGTTCTGCTCTCATTACTGCCTTCTTCTTCTGGAGTTGATCTTAATTATTCTCTGTGGTTTTGTCCCGTACAAACAAACACAAAGATGAATTATCATGTCAGAGGCACAGTGCCTCCAGTGGTGTGTGGCAGCAGTGACAGTCACTGTTGTGTAACTTCTTGTTGTTCAATCGGTTCAAGTGATGAATGTGATTTTATTTTATTTTTTAAAAAGAAACTTTTACAAAAAATGTTTTCTGAGAGGGCAGAACAAGACAACAAGGTGGCGCTCTTTGCTTCTTGGCATTCACAAAATGTTCTTACAAGGGCTTTGCAACATGAACTGGTTCCTTAGTCACTGTAAATTAGCAGAACCAACTGAGGAGAACGTTCCCATGTGACTTCATGCTGAAAAACACTGGAAAAAAGTTGTAATTGTAAAAACTGTCACCTCGTTCTGTGACCCTGGGCCGTCCTCCTGACCCCAGGTGGCTCCTGACCCTGGGCCGTCCTCCTGACCCCAGGTGGCTCCTGACCCCAGGTGGCTCCTGACCTCAGGTGGCTCCAGCCTGGTACTGACACCACAGTCACTTTCAAATGCCCCCCACTGTGGGACAAATGAAGGAAACAAAAAAACCCCCCCCCCCCCCCCCCACACACACACACACTCCCCTTAGGTTAACCTGGTCAGTGTTGTTGAATGGGCCCTTTTTTCTGACTGGTTGATAAAATGACTTTGTCTGAATTACAGACACACCCTGCTGTTATTACAACCAAGAGAGAGAGAGAGAGAGAGAGGGAGGGAGAGACACTAAGTCACAGTGAAATGAGAGCGAGAGAGGGAGGGAGGGAGGTGGTGAGGTCAGGGTTGTCCATATTTGGTCATTTATGCCTGTGTTTTATCCAGCACGTGTGTCCGTGTGCAGCTCTGTGTGTTCTGGTTCTGCTGCCAGAGTTGAACCAACTAGAAACTTGGTGTGAATTCAAACAAGTTGATTTAAATGTACCC